AGCTCTGAGTTTATCCTGCAGAGGGAAATTAAAGACAATCAAAATGAAGCATGAGTTTCTGTTTCGGATTTATCCAGATTGATTGGTGGACAACACTTCTTCATCAGAGTTGCCAAAGTTTGTATTGCAGCCGCTTGCTTAAAGCTCTGCATTAAGAGGAATGAGCTGTCAGAGAAAGGCCGGTGGGCCGCGGAGATAAGGTGGTTACCACAACACCATGTTGGATGTGTGGTGAATGCAGAGGCCATTTGTTTTGTCAAGGGTAGGCAGATAGTTCAAGAGGTAAAAAAAAAAAAAACGACCAAGAGAGAAGCTTGGAGGGATTTTTGCCCTTTTTAACCTTTTAAATCAACATGGATTTTCTGCAATGTAAATAATAAGGTTTCATCAGTCTGTCATAATGAAAAGACTCATTATTCTTATTTTAGTCTTTCCCACATATTTACTTGCTTTATACAGAAACATACACCTTATAAAATTGTGGGGCAGATCTCCCAGCTGGAATGTTAAATATCATTTCAAAGATACAGTGAACCTGTGTGCATCCATCTAGAAATCAGCTTGGTCAGAGTCAATGATCCATCTATATTTTAAGATGACTCATTTTCTACCGGGGGCTGTGCATCGAGGAAAGCTGCAGGCAACACTTTGTCTCACTCGTCATTATTGATCTCCAGCAGCGTCTCTCCTAAAAGGAGTTTGGTTGTTTCTTCTTCGCAGTGGGAGTGTGTTTTAGAGTCTGTTCCCACTTCCCACCTAACTTCTTTGAATTACTGCAGAGCCTCAGCTGCCAATCGGAGCTTAAGTGCTATGATTTTTTGCAAACATGAATCCATTTCCTCAGAAAGCTGCGCAGCGGGGGGGCAACCATGAGACGTTTATTCCGGTGAGTCACGTCCTAATGATGCCTTGGATCTTGTTAGGCTTGTCAGTCCCTTTGGCAGACTGTTGAGACAGTGGACGGACCGAGGAACATCTGCAACATGAACTGCAGAATATAATAGAGGCCTTTCAGCTTCTGTCAATCTAGTTAGTGCAGCTCTGAAGGACATTAAGCATCGATAACTACAGTGAGTTAGGATTTGCTGACTGTTCTCTCATACACCTCAAACCAACCATAATATAATATATGTGTATTAAATCTCATCTCTCTCACTTGGGGAATCGGAGCCATTTCCTCAAACACTTCCTGATAGTCATTACCCATTCTGGTTTTTGCTCCTCACCATACACATTGGAAGTACATGATTCATTTTGATGACATTGTCATTAAGGATCCTAAAGAGTCAAGACACTTGATGTAACTGCAGCATGAGTCAGTGTCTTTGTGAAGCTATTATCAAGATTAGTCAATAATAAAAATGACCATTTGTTGCTGTCTCAGTTGCACACCGCATCTCTTACTTATTTTTCTTGTTTGCGCTCTACTAAAAAATGTAAAACACTCTAAAAACAGTTAGCACACAAAGTACAATGCAGTTTTGCGAGTAGGTAGTCATCAATCGAAGTTCTGGATAATGAGAACATTCGACACCAAGGAGAAGACAGGGGAGCAACACAGTCTGTTTAAAATGTTGTCTGGGAATCATGATTACCAAATGATAACCCAGCCAATAGCTGTTGAGAGATTTCATTCTCGACCGAAGTGGTAGACCAACCCACAGACTGATGGTTCCATCCCCAGAGACACTACAGTCTCTTGCATTGAAATAAACATGTTTTCTTCCCACGTTCCTTGAGTCTGAGGGAGGTTCTCGAGTTGTTCCACAATTAGAGGAGAAGCTGCTGAGTGAATAAAATCAGAACAGCAAGTTCTGAGGAGCTGCTCCACATCTGTCTCCCTCATGTGTCATGCTGCTTTCTGGCCACCCACCCACACTGATGTAAGGGTGTCACTCACCTCTTCAGAAACCATTAAGCCTTTTCTCCACACTCTGTCACGAGCATCTGCATGTATATCACGTCCTTTAACAAAGGGGTTACAGGGTAAAGTAGGGCCTGAGAAATGAATAGTGATAAAGTACAGCTTGTATTCTTGTAGACGTATAATGATATGTAGACATTTTTTGTATTTTCTATCATTCTAAATTAATTTTTTTGAGTTTAATCTTCAGTTAAATCTTATTAACATCTATCCCTGCATTCAATCTTAATGAGACAATCTGATTACTACACTACATATTATCTGTGAACAATTTACTCAAGAAATTTGAGTGTGACTTTCTCCTTTCTGATCTTTTTCAACTTACACATACACATTGAGATGTTGCTGTCATGTGGATCAGGATGTGGATTTTGTCCACACAGCCCAGCAGATGTTTAATGTAATCGGACACATAAGTCACGATCGTTGTTGTCTGTAAAGGTCAGTGCCATATTTACTGCAAAGACCTTTTTTTTTTAATAAAGCAGTCAGCAGGTTTTACATTTTTTTGTTTTAGTGTCATTAGATTACTCCTCCTAATCAAAAAAAAACTTTCACTTGTTGTTTTTGTGTCAAGGCACTTGCAATCGTGCATATTTTTTGTGTGTGTTCATGCACACATATGAAAAGGAGGCCACCATCATGGCACTGGAACCTTCCTTGTGGCTTGTGTTTATCTTTTGTCCTATCGCTGTCATTGTCCATGTGGTCCTTTCTGCTTCTTTGTCCTCGACACACTAGACAAACACACTCAGCATTTATTGTCTGTCAGCGTCTGTGTTTTTACCAGACCTGTCTGTGTTTGTTACAGTTTCTTCACTCGTGTTTCTCAGTTGTTAATGACTGCAGCAGTGAGGTAAAAATCCATATTAACAGTAACCTCAATCACAGCTCCTCTGTCATTTAATACAGTTTTAACGCAGTCACTTACTGCACTTCTTCATTGCCATCAATGAGCTCTGTGAGAAAGGGTAATTACTGGAGCTCTGACGTCGAATGCTCCTGTCACCATGATGAAAGCCTGAGAAGTGGTGTTGCTGTATCAGATGAAAGGGTTTCCTGGAGGGTGGCAGGGTGATAGACCTGCATATAGCTGGTGTGATCTGCGGAAAGTGGATGAATAAATCATGGGCAATGGAGAGCCGGAGCTGTGGCAGATAGATATGTACTATGGATGACATTTAGTGTGTCATATATCATGATTGTCAATGGCTAAGTCTGTTTTTGTCCTGGTTCGATTAATTACATGCAGCAATAATTGAGCTCCAAGCCGCGGCCTGTGGTCCGCAGCGAGGTGTTGGACAGGAGGTTTCAGATGTCCACGCTTTTGTCTCTCCAACAGCACAAGCGGCTGTTGCCATTATGCAGCACAAAGCCTGCAGATACAGAGCAGGTAATATGATTAACCTTGCCGCTGCTTGAAAGTGGTAGTCAACACGTGGTCTGTCTGATTCAATCGAAGACGAGAGGAGACATATAAATGATTCATTTCACATTTTTTTTATTTAAAACCAACAATAACATTAATGTTGGTTATGTTTTTAATTTACAAGTTTTGCCCAATAATGCACTGTTCATTGTACTAAGTTGATTACACTGTGCGTAAAGTGACAGAAAATACAATATTGGTAATTTAATTATTGATTATGTATTTTATCAAGTATAGAAACATTAACTGGTTACAGCATCTCAAATGTAAGGATTTGCCACTTTATCATAAATTAAATGCATTAAGGTATTGAACTGCTGTTTGCACAAAGAAGCAGTTTACAGATGACACTTTGGGCTCTGGGAAGAATTTTTCACTATTATTTGACAGAGAATACATTTTTAAATGTATTATTTAAATAAAATTGTAATTTGTTGTAATAAAAACATTAGTTGTAGCCTAATGTTTACCAATTTAATTATACATAAAAGATGATAGATATTTTTTTATGACGCTGTAAAATTTTATCAAATTTCAATTGAAATATTTTGACTAATGAACAGAGAATGTAGCCCTAAATAAAAAATACTGCATTAAAAAAAAATAATTATGGTCGTCAACCATCTTGTCTCTGAGACAAAATCTCATAGATGGTTACAAAATAAAAGAATTACTGTAGAATGGTTTAAAATCTGCTGTGTAACCTTAGTCAAGCTAGAACTAATGATCTGCTGCATGTTCCCATGTGGACTGACATGATTTAAAAAAACCTTGTGACTGGTGCCAGTTTTCCATACCATGACAAACTGCCACTCAATGTGCATTAGCGAAATGTGCCTGTATGTGCTGACGTGGCAGACCAGGCACATAACATTAATTAGACTGTGTGAAGTGTGGCAGTTGACTGAAGGTTGTCATTTTCGAAAAAGAGGCCCGTCAGAGAGCTGTCTGTGGAGTCAGATCAGCCACCACCACTCTGTCATCTCCTCAAGTACTGAAGCCAAAATCCCTCCAAAGAAAAGTATGTGTTTAGACAATCTAATAATCTTTATTATTGCCAATTGTTTTTTACATTTCTGAGGAAAACATTGGTTTTAAATTGGTTGTCCATTTGTTGTTTAGTCTTGTTGTGTTTTATATTTTGAGCTGCTGAACGACTTAAAGGAGACGTATTTTACTCATATTCAGGTTTATAATTTTAAAGTAGGTTACGACTTGAAAAGATTTAGATGCTCTTTTCAGCCTTTTAAGTGTGTTATTGCTACTTTAACTCAAGTAAAAGTGTCTGAATATGTCTGAGCCTATGTATTTCTATAGCTTATGCTTAAGATTCATAAATTCTGAATATCCCTCTCTGTCTCATGAGTAAGATATGAATGATTTAAATCTGAAGTCTCCACTGACATTCATGTCTTTGTCTCGTCTCTCGATTTGATTGTTGAGAATCCTTCTGTGCAGCTTTCATCATCATGTCCCTTAGTTCTGCTCCATGAAGGTGGAAAAAACTAATCACTTTGAATAAACCAATGTCTTTTTCAGCGAGAGAGAGCTAAGGGCTTTTAGAGGGCTTGCTTATTAAAGCCATTTTTCTCCACCCGCGTCCTCTCTCGCTTCTTGACCTCCTCTCCACTCCTCCTTTGTTTACAGGAGGAATGTTTCTTGTACTCTGGACGTAGCCAGTCAGCAGCGAGATGGGCTCAGAGGAGCGCAGTTCAGCCATGTCACAGAAGATCTCCTCCCTGTCACGCAGCAACAGCAGCTCCTCGTCCAAGCATGACAGCCGACAGGTAACTCACACCAGCTGGAGACACTAGAGGACAAGTCCCACGTTGTTACAGATGCACAGCCACACGTCATTCACTGCTCACTGATGAAGTAAGACTCTGTGGTCTTGTTACACTTCCAGATAATTTCCCTGGTATTACGCAGCCGGACGGAGGAAAGTTTGGATTATCTGAGTTTTTTTTCCCTAAGCAGTTTATGAAATATGTGGTAAATGAAGTAAATATAGCATCAAGCATCCTCAAGGATTTCTCTGTGCTGTGGGAGGAGAATGACCGGACACTAAATTCCATTTCCAAATAGACATCTCAGCCTCTGTGCGTCATATATCTCACACACAGAGGATTCAGATCTGCCAACTAGACAGAGTTGTTTTCTATCAGAAACATTCCTTAATCTCACACAACAGCATTTTTGACTAATGTGGCAAAATGTAGAGAATCTCCTGAATATTCAGATGCAGTTCTTCTCTCAAAGGTTTTTCTCTTACACCCACATTAGTGAAGATATCAGCACCATGAACACACTGTTGTTGCATTTGCATTGAGCACTTGTCTGTTGGCAGCAGACTCATTAATTTTTCATTACCTGCAACAGCTTTTCTGTTTGGAAATTAGAGTAATATAGTTTCTCTGCAGTCCTCCCTGCAGGACACACAGACACCAGTGGTTAGAACACATACAGGAGTGTTTTCACCTGCAAAAACTTTTGAACAAACAAATCAATAAATTAATATTATCTTAAAACACACAATTTCATACCTCATAACCCTCAGTCATGCTTTTACTGTAGTTTTGTATCCTTAATAAGAAATCTTATTTTCCTATCTAACGTGAATTCTTAATCTAATGAACTGAAGAAGTCGGTAATGTTGTGTTTCTCTCACTCGCTGAGTCTGACCCTCCTACCCAAAAAGGAGGATAATTCCTGGAAGACTAGTGATGCTGCGCGTTCCTCCTCATAAAATTAAAGCATCAAGCATTTGAACAGGAGACTACAGCCCGAGCACCTACAAAGCTCACTTATAGCCATCATGAAGGTTATGTTTTCACCCCTGTCCATTTGTTTTGTTTGCTGGTTGTTTGTAGGATTATGCAAAAACTACTGATCAGATTTCCATGAAAGTTGGTTTAAAGATAGAAAGAGCCAATTCAATTTTGGCACAGATCCCATCATTTCCAGGAACTTTCTTTAAAACTGCTGGCATTTTTATTGTCATGGATTTGCCAAGAAATAATTCATGGATCTTGATGGAAAAAAGGGGTTTAGGAATATGAGTATCTGCAATTTGGTGCACATCCAAATCAAGTGAATCCAGTGGTTTTAAACGTGGTTTCATAAGGGGACCCTTAGAACTTTGCGGTGGTACTCTACTGTGTCTTAGTTAACTCAACTGTTTATATTTAGCTTCTTTATCTATCTATTTAACTGATGTTGTATCTTAACATACTATTTCTTGGCTGGATATAATAACCAATTCATTTTTAGACTTTATTTTGTATTTCGATCTGTATATCGATGAAACAAACGTGACACAACGTTTAGTTAGTGAGCTTAGTTACTTTTGGACAGAGCCGGACAAGCCGTTGTTTTCAGTCTTTGCACTGTCACGATTTCTTCATTTACAGATGTTTATCTTGAAACATCCCAATGTCCTTTATTCTTACACTGGTTTTTATCCCTTTACGTCAACATCTTGGTATGTCACTGTTTCCTCTGAGAGAATGTCCCTTGACCTTGAAGGAAAGTGCCTGGACGGTATATATGACTCACTGTGTGTCACTATGTCTGTCGGAGCAAGGACGAGCGTTCAGGGAGACATGGTGAGAGAGAGAGAGAGAGAGAGGCCACAAGCCCAACAAGCCACGCCCCCTCCACCCCCCCATCCCATCAGATATGAGGGTTTATTTTAGTCCGCCTCACCTCCAGCAGTCAGCGTCTCTGACTGATACAGGACTGTTTTATACTAGAGCAGTCAGGGACACTGAGATAACAAACAGAGTCACCTCAAATGTCTGTCAAGAAGCCAAAGTCCGTCTTGTGAGCTGTGACGTGATTGTTTTTTCTTGTGTGTTTGTCAGGACAATTAACTAAATGAAGTGTAAGGTGTATCACCATTGTGTAGCATGAAAACAAGGAGCTGCGCCTTAAGAAAAGGATTTCATGAATTGCTTTGGTAGTTTTTGCGTAGAATTCTGTTAATTAATAAATAACCAAACAAACCAATAGAAACATAATCTTCTTGGTGGAGGTAATAAAACAGGCGGACGTATTGAAAGCATCGTCCTTGGATGGGAAGAAGAAGGAATATTTTGCATTTGTGAAAGATAGACTTCTAAAAGGGTGCATCCAGCCGAGCTCATTTATGTAATAATGGATTTAAGCTGGTGATCTTTGTAGCACATGATCGCCCACACTCTCTTCTGCCTATTGCTACTGTCAAACTGCTCAGAAAGACCAAAATGACAAAAGATAGTTGCAGAAGATGGCTGTAATATTGTTCAAGCTCCAAAAACACCACATCCTTCATTCCCCCCAGGAAAAGTCAGTAGTGTGTCACTCCTATAGAGAAAGAGTAATTTTAGAGAAGGCACATTAAAGGCTTCCAGGATGTGGTTGACTTCCTGTTTGCCCCTTGACACACAAATGTCATACAATAAGATCAAATTATAGTTAGTCATAGTTCTGCATTTGCTCCTTTACTAATGTTTGTGTGGGTATTTTGTGCATGTGTATCAGGTGACAAAGAAATATCGAGTTTGACCACTATGTTGAAACTACCTCACAGCCATAGACCTGTCTCTGCCTAGTAAACTCATCTAAAGTTTTTAAAATTCCTCTGCACCAGTGTGTGTTAAAAATATCTCTACTTCAAAAAAGACATCAAGCGATTGTTTCCACAAGCTCAGCTTGTGACGAGCAAACTGTGTGAAAATCAATGGACTGCCTCTCTGAACAAAACTGATTGATTACCAATCTTTTGTCTCACTGATAAATCAACTAATCGCTTGGTGCTATGAACCACAAGTGAGTGATATTGTTGATACTGTTTATGCTGCCTTCCTGGAAATCTCACAGCTGAAGTCCATGACACAGCTATCTGGATTAGTCTGTGATGAAATATCTTCTTAATCCTTGTATGTGCAGGGGATTTGGATTTGAGTGTTCTAATCTCATCAGGAAATTATTATTGTGAAGCGTGATGTTAGACAGGTAAGATAATTTAGGACCATGAGGTGAATGTCGTCAGTTGGCACCAAATCTCATATGGAAGCGTTTTCTGACATTTCATTGAACAGAGGCAGCAAATCTTAACACCAACAGCAGCAAAAAATGACAATATACTTTTGACTCTGACCTTCACGCTGTTGTGTGGTCGATTCATTCACTTTATGTACAGCTGAACCTCACGGCAACTTTAATCTGCATGTGTCTGCACAAGTTGACTGTCGGCTTATGTTTGTGTATCCCATCTCTGAGTTTTCATAGACTATGTGTGCCCACAGGACAGCTGGGAAATAGTGGAGGGTCTGCGAGGAGGCACCGGAACCGTCCTGGAGCCTCAGAAACAGGAGGGCTACATGCTGAAGAGGAGAAAGTGGCCTTTGAAGGGCTGGCATAAGGTATGATCCAACCTCTGTGATGTCCTTAACTGATCCACACTACATTTTACTTACTCATCAGGGTGATGACATCATGACGTGTTTTCTGAATTTTCCATTTCCCGGGTTTTACCGAACACTGACCATGTTGCTTTCACAATCTGTTCACATGACTCATTTACGTTTTGAAGTAATTGAATGAGTTTTTGCTGGAGATGATTTCAGCCGCAGAGGAGTCACATGTGACCTGGGTCAGAGACTCTCCATGCGGCGTCTAAAAGCTTTCACTCGGATGATGCTGTCTCAAAAGCTCAGTGTTCCTCTCAGATGCATTAGCTGATGGTCTGTTGGTTAATAGAGCTGTATACATTTAGTATTGACTTACAGTCAGAGCTTTGCAGGTCTTGGTGCTGTCAACAGTCTGACTCTGACAATGTAGAGATAGAATTTACAAAGATAACTGAGGAGGAGGAAGATGACAGCAGGTGGGGAGGAAGATGGAGGATAGGGAGGCAGATGGAAGAGATGGGGCTGGGATGAAAAACATCTCTAGATGATCTTGGCAATTGACGATGGTCAGAGTGATTATGGATATCCCAATGTCAAGAAGATATCAGCCTTGTTTTCACATTAATGTATTAAATTATTATTATTAATCATGGTAGTTTTAAATTATATAAAATTGTATCTGCCCCACAATAGTTTTCATATCTACATCTCCACACAATCAGTTTTACCCTCTATTATCTGTATCAGCATCAGCCCCCAAATCCCCACAGCGTTTGAGCTCCACTCCTTAGATCATATCCACTTTTTGCAATTACACAGGGTGGCACTAAGATGATCTGACACTGGAGGAGATCCCTCAATGCTGCAGCAGAGACATTAACAACACACATGACCAAAAGGCTGACTGTGTCATGATCACTCATAACAGTGACTTCAGTCTTGTGCTGTCTTGTGCATATCATCATTCCAGCTGCGTCTCATCTGCTCATCGTCCCGTTTTCTCCCTACAGAGATACTTCTTCCTGGACAAGGGCATCCTGAAGTACGGCAAGTGCAGTGCTGATGTAAGTACAGACGCCCGTCAGCTGCTTTCCATGTGGGAGGCTTTTTGTCTCTTGCGCTCTGTACCAGTGAACACAATATTACGTCACAATCTCCTGGTCATTGATGGGAGTCACTCAGTGCAATGTGTAATTCTATATTCATTGTATAGCTATTGAGAAAGTCTGCTTGGCCAGGTCTGAGCAGTATGAGGTCTCCTCCAGTATGTTTAGAGCATCATGTGTTGACATGTGTTGGCAGATCGAGAAAGGGAAACTGCACGGCCGCATTGACGTGGGACTCTCTGTCATGGCCATTAAGAAGAAAGCCAAGTGCATCGATCTTGATGCCGAGGAAAACATCTATCACCTGAAGGTAAACTGCAAGGCTAATGAATATAAGGCACCCCCCACTGTCTTACAGGAAAAGATGGGAAAACATGGATTATTTAGATTATTCCCTGTGTGTTCCTGGAACAGCTGTCTGCATTGGAACGACTTTAAAATGACCTCATCACATGTGGCTGAGAGGAAGATTGCTGCGTACCTGTTTTTCCACCTCTCGTCACCATACTTGTCCTTGTGTTACTTGACTAACACTGATTGTGGTATGTGCTCTGCAGATTAAGTCACAGGAGCTGTTTGATGAATGGGTGTCCAAGCTGCGCCACCACCGGCTCTATCGGCAGAATGAGATTGCTATGTACCCTAATGAGAAATCCTTCTACTACCCTCACTACTCCTCCCCTAAGTCGCCCAACTCCCCCAGCTTGGCCAAGAGTGCCTCTCTCAGAAAGGTAAACATCTCCATTACATAGCATACAGTTAATGAAAACTATGTGGTCTGTAAATGCTTTCCTCCATCTTTCTGCTTATGATTATCAGTGACTTTATACGGACGCCAACAATCTGACTATGACCTGATTCTAAATAAAACATTACTCTGATCATGATGTTTACTTGCTAATAGAATATTTCCATTCATATTACCGTTTACATGTTACAGAGCATAGTCCAACAATGACGTACGTCAACATTACATCCTCTATGTCCAACGTTTCTGCCATAATTTGCAAAACCCAACCTCAAATAATGCATGATGCTATTGTTGATAGCTTCATCCCGTTGTTGTATTTTCATCTTGCTCTCGAAGCCAGAACATGCATCATCAAGCAGTTGGTAACTGCAATAGGATGTAACAAATAAATTAAGACATATACATGTCTACATCATGCGACTAAGGGCAGAATGCTCCATGTGTCTTAATTCTATTATTGCTTATCCCCTGTATGACCCTGTTGGGCTTACGTTAATCAGAAAATGCTGTTTACAATAACAGTGATAGTCAGTGATATTTACTCAAGTCAAAGCCCCTCTATTGATACAGTTATGAAACATGCAAACAGTGATTGTTGTGACCTTTGGTTTTGTTTTCTGTTGCAGTGCATGTCTATACAAAGACAGTCCACAGTGCATTCTGTCGGAGCCTTCCCTTTAAGCTGCAACAGCCAGGCCAAAGTTACAGCCTGGCTCCAGTCATCAGATGACATGGACAAGTGCTCCAAAGGTGAGACAACAGAGCTGTCCCCTGTGATCCTAGTATGTGATGCACTTCTCTCTTCTTTCACATCATTTCATATGACTTCTGTCAAACCTGATTTGGTGGAAATTCACTGACCACAACCTAAAACTTTGGCTGGATTTGTGATTTCCATCATGAAATCATCTGCACTGTTATTTAAGGTACATGATGATAAGTTATACATCTCGATGTGTCAAGTTGGGGTTTTATTGAGAATCATTAATAATTACATACCTTTACAGAGGCTGCAGCTGAACGGTTGCAGAATTGTTTATTTGTTTGTGAAGGTTCGTCTTGTTTTCAGTGACTCCGAATTACAGTTAAGTTCCCAGAATTGAACAAAAGATCTAACCTTGGTGTGTTTTTGTGCTTCTGCGGTGGCTACAGCCAGGGGCTGGAACCGTTTCAGGTTCTCTCAGACCGTCCCATTCTTGTGAACACAATATCTCAAGAAGGCTTAAATTGACTTTCTTACAATTTATTTGGACTCAAAGGTGAACTGATTAGATTTTGGCAGCCAAAGGTCGAAGGTTAAGCTTGCTGTGAACTCACAAAAGGCACGTTTTTGCCTCGTGAACAGGATATCTCAGAAACACCTCCAGAGAATCATTTGTCACAATTGTTGACTCCAGACTAATAAATGATTAGACTAATTGATTAGATTTGGATTGTCAAAGGTCGAGGTGACCTCTCTCAACACATTTTTATTTGTGAAAGGGACTTTTTTCAAATTTCGACCGTCACTGGGACTCAAAGGTCAAAGTGACCTTATATGAGTCTGTAGACTTAAACCACAGCAGTTTTTTTTACGTGTGTCAGATGCTGGTACTAACAATATATCTCTCGCAGTGTTGTGTATACAGAAAGATGCTGTTGATTACTGATACACTGTTCGACCCGTTTTCTTTCATTTGGATCCTTACAGTATCAACACTTTCCCTATCTATTAAATGTGAAGCTATCTCTTTTTAAACCAGAAAGTTTGAAGTCCATCAAATATTTTTACAAGTCAAGGGACACAAAGAGTTGATTCTTTCTCTTTTCACATCTTAATTTTCTTTCCTCAATGTGGATCTTGTCTCTGGTCTGAACAGACCTGTCAGTCTGTGACGCCTACCTGCTGGAGCTCAACCACCTGCTTCAGAGCATGGAGGTCCTCCATCGAACATATTCTGCTCCATCTATCCAGGCCCTGCAGGTCAGCACTCCTTTTCTTTCTGGTTCTCTTTGTTTGGAACCGTTATCCAAATTCAACATTTTTAAGTCTGAGAAACAGCACAGTAAATAAACCACATCCTAACCCTCTGAAATTTATGAAAAGTAACTTCTCTTTTGTCTTCTTTTATCCTTTCTCTCCATCTTGCTACTAAATACCTTGCACTGCCAGTTGGGAAATAACAACTGTCATCTTTATAATCCACCAGACATCTACATTCGACAGCCCTAAGAAGGAGAAGAGACTTCCAAAGAAATGGCGGAATAAAAACTACAACAAAGACGTAAAAACAACTCTGCAGGTAGACGATGTGACAATGAGAGTGATCATACTTTTTTTTTAGTGTGAGGCCCTCTTAGTTTTACTCCCTCTGCTTTAATGAAGGTACCCAGCTGCATCTCCTCTGGCTCTATCCGCCTCCATGCCTCTAACCCCAACCTCTCCTCCGCTGCACTCGCTAATGACAAAGCCGACACCGAGTCACTAGATTCTCCATTTGATGTGGCAAAGCTCCAGGAGGACTTCTGCCGTATCGCCACCAACTGTGAGTGAATGATTTTAATGAGCAGATTGATTTTGTTGGGTACGTACAACAAACCCAAGATTTTAAAGATACTTTGCAAACTCTCTCTGTCTTATTTGCAAGTACAATAGCACTGGCAATGTGTTGTCTGTACCGAGCAGACGAGAAGTGACAGCCATGCAGCTGTTAATTACCGATAAACTGTCGGTCTCAGTTTTCATTCATTAAAATTCTGATGATGTTCCCTGTCAGCATCCCCTCGCTGTTACCACGTGAGACATTTACATTTTGTAAACCAGAGAGAATTAAAAATCTCTTTTGTAAACAGAAGGTTGCTTCACATGGGACTAATTTAGTTTTCTGCCACTCCTCGGTGAATCTCATATTCAGACACCTGATGCTTGACATGGAATAATGAGGATGTTCTGTGTTTTACATAATGATATCACGATTTTAACATTGCTCCTGGGAGTAGCTGTCAATGCATTTAAATTGCACATTAGAAATTATGAAGATAAGGATGTGTGATGAGCCTTAATATTTATTATTAACATCATTTTCCTTTAATGTATTTTCCTAAGAACTGATTATGAAATGCCTGGTAAAAATTACTATCATTAAACAAAGATGGCAGCTTGCTGAGCGACGGGAGAAAATCAAAATTTCACTTGTGTGATAGACTGGATGGACTGTGATATGATCTACATCTCTTCAAAATGAATACTGATCTGGTTCACATCTAAAGCTCCCTGCTTCTCCTCTTGTTGCCGCAGTGCATACAACCATGAAGTCGGCTCTCAGTTCACTGACGTCTGAGCGGGAGAGGTTAAAGCAGTGTCTGGACCACGAAACATGTCCCCCTACCTCGCCGCAAGTTGTCGGTTTGAAGAACACGCTGGCGACGGTATGTGAAATACACACATAATGATACGCAGGCACAGAGATCTTTACCAGTCTCTAGAAACACATTCCACTTTCTTTAAGTCTTTCGCTCTACTCTCATGTGCTGTGTCCTCCCACACCACTTGTCAGCCGTGACACACTGATGAGTCTTTTAGAGGAATCACTAGCTGCTGGTGTGATGTGGTCGACCCACTTCAACATGACCACATTCAACAGTCATGTTTCCAGCGACTGGTGCCTCCTGCCCTGAGTCTCTTTCTATTTTCTGTCTCTAGTTACACACGTTTACTGTGATGCTGACTTCTTCTTATTCTTGGTTATGAGGCTTCCTCTCTGCCCACACCATTTCAGCCTATATGAACATAAGTTTGTTACTTCCTATATTAGCCCAGGTGACGTTTTCTAGCTTAAGTGTAGTCTTTTAGTGGTAGTTATTTTTCAGTATTGTAGTGTAGTTCAGTATTCTTGCAAAAATAATAATTTTGCACTGTCCTCATCTTAATGTATTGACTCTATCTATCTATCTATCTATCTATCTATCTATCTATCTATCTATCTATCTATCTATCTATCTGTCTGTCTGTCTCTACATTTATCTAGACATCTATATCTCTATACCTATCATTATCTCTATCTCTCTCTACCTCACATCTGGTGGATCACATCATTTAGGCTCTCACTGCTTCCTGCCTGATTTCTGCTGATGTGATAACACATATTTATACTTGTACACATGTCTCTGTTGTAAATGATTATATTCAGTGTTATGTCGGGTGTCCACTATATTTGATGTTTACACTGGTTATTTTTCCAGGCTTTAGCCCAGAACTCTGAGCTGAGAGAGCGCCTGAGCAAGATTCATGCCGAGTCCCACATCGTAGAGCCCACATTAATAAATCTCACTGCCCCTGTGCAGGTGGGTGCAGGAATGCAGTGACTCTACCCAACCCCCCCACCCCCCATCACCACCACCTTCACGATGATTATTATTACCTCCATTTCTTTTTCTCCATCCTACACTGTCTCCAGTTTGCCACGGCATGAATGAGCTGTCCTTTCCCACTCTTTAAGATGCAACAAACATTTGCGCTCCTCCCGCCCCCTCACTGCACTCACTTTGTCTTGTGATGACAACAGGAAAAAAAAGTGAACAGAATTTTCTTCACGACTCACCAGGAAATGCTGCCTCCTGGAAAAAAAGTTGTGTATCTGTTCTTTTCGATGAGAAAGTGCTTCCTCTCAGTCTAATGGTTCAGAGGAAGACATCTAACCACCTAACACATTATCGTCTCCTGAGGGAAGCCCTTTGCTCCCTAATCAGATTTGCTGACCTGAGGGTGATCTGATCCGCTTAATCGTGTCCCTGGAAATTTGTTGAACACACATTTACAAAACTAATGCACCATCTCTGAGATTATCACCTTGCTTATTAATCAGCTTCAGCATTAACAAAGGATAGCCAGGTGTACTCACTTCCACATGTGCTTCTGTGTAAAAGGTTTGCATGTTTTCAATTGTTGCAAGAAGAATTACGTGAATGGCTAATTTTAAATGTGCATCCTTTGTTTGTGATATTGCACAGAGCTGGTTTGCAGTGTAAGGGCCATGTCACACACACGCAAATGCAAAGCGAATATCGCAGGAAACCCAAATTTGCCAAAAGAAGCCATTGGGAATGAACAGGGGGGTTGAAGGTTCTGACACATTTGTGTATGTGTGACTGGCCTTATGGCTTTTCAAACTTGTTGCAAAGTTGCACGATTGACATGTGATATACCGTCTCTAGAACTACTCTACTACAATTGTTTGAGAAACAAGTCTTTTATCGTACCTGTAGCTGAATTCTTCCTTTACAAAAATGTAAAGTCTTTAGTGTTCAGATTTTTAGAAGGTGATTATGTGGTCAGTTCAAATTATGTCACAAATGAACATCATGAATTAAAAACAAACTGTCAGCTCAGAAATATCTTTATGAAACACTATGAAACAAGAATGCATGCAGTGAGTTAATACAGTTATCTGTTTTATTATTTCCTTTTCCATAGCACACTCTGACTGTATTATAGTCTTTCAATACGTACTGTTGTGTATTGTGATACTGTAGCTACACATTGTGATTGTATTGTATTCTGAATGACCCTGTGATTGTCACGCTCCCTCGCTACAATGAGGTCATCCCCTGTTTGCTCTTAATTATAGCTGTGGATACTGTGTCTCCTAGAAACAGGTCTCTGTGGATGAATCCCCTCCCCTTGTGCACCAAGTGTCCAATGAGAGCAGAGCTTCAATCGCAGAGTCTTTGTCCGAGTTCTTTGATGCACAGGAAGTCCTGCTGTCTGCTAGCTCCTCTGAAAATGAGGTAAGTGTAGGTGTTGAAGCTTCTACCCATTAGAAGGTTAACAAAGAAAGTTCTGGATCGGACCCTTTGTCCAGCAAACATTGAATGGGTTCTTTCTCTGCCTATGGTTTTATCCTTTTTTTGTAATCCTACTAAGTACGAACAAACCAATTAAAATGGCACTAAGTCAAGCAAATACCTCCAGTCCCCTTAAATTCAACCAAGCTGCACTAAATGGCACACACTCATGGAAATATGCCTGATTTATTTCATCAAGATCCATGAATTGTTCCCTGGGAAATCTGTGAAAATGTCTCACAATATTAAAATCAGTGATAAAACAAATCCTGGATGCAGCCCCTTAACCGTATCTGCAGCAAAATTGAATGTGTTCTTTCTTGGCCCATGTCCCATCCTTCCACCAGGTGTTGTGGAAATTTATCTTGTAGTTTTTGCATAATCCTGCTGACAATCAAAAAAGGACAGAGGCGAGAACATAACCTTCTTGGTGTAGGTAAAAATAAACCAGACAATTGGGTCTAAAATAAAATTTCCATCAAAGGTTTTTAATTCATCTGACTCAGTTCTGTCTATATCTGTTGAACTCCATCGCTGAGAGAACAGCCTTTCATTAACATTATGTTTGTAGTTGTGAAGTTTATGTTGAAGTTTTATGATGTCTGCCCTCCACTTCTTCTTTCTCCTCTTCTTTCATTGTTCGTGCGTACACGTCTGATCAGTTCACAGCTGAAGCGGAAACAATGTGAAAATGGAAGTTAATTACTTAAATCTAAAAATACAGCACGCCGAGGTGCAAATTTGTCACCAGGTCCTCAGGGACCATTCATCTCCAGATCTGCTGCTGACATGACAGGATGTTGAAGGAGGCCTGCACAGTCCCCTGCTGCAGGTTGTATTAAAAGGTGTCTTTTATCTATCAGCTTAAGTCTGGATGGGTTTTTTGTAGGCCTCAGAGGATGACTCATACATCAGTGACGTCAGTGACAACATTTCCATGGACAACTTCAGCAATGGGACAGAAATCGAGAGACCAAACTCAGGTAAGCCAAGAGCTTCTAGTGCCGGTCCAATTTCAAGGGTTCAGTGACAAAATGCCGTTTGTTGTTTGACCACACAAAGAACTGTCAGTGTCCTGACCTCATTCACCTTCTGCTCCCAGGGTCTGCAGAAAAAGGCGCTGCCCTTTGTCAGCGTAGATCCTGCCTGCCCTCTCTCAGTCCCAACAACAGCACCATCAGCCTGTGGAACATCCTCAGGAACAACATCGGCAAAGACCTGTCTAAGGTGGCGATGCCTGTGCAACTCAATGAGCCGCTCAACACCCTGCAGAGATTGTGTGAGGAGCTGGAGTACAGCGAGCTGCTCGACAGAGCCGCCAACACACAGGACCCTTTTGAACGTATGGTGAGATGGCAAATTCACTTGCGCTGTTTTGAGTGAGTGGGAAGGGTCAGATCACATGTTCAGTTCCAGCATTCAGTGGGCCTCCTGACAAACTTCAAAAAGTTCTATCAATACTTGCATCCATAATTTGTACTGTTTATCCTGTTGCCGGTATTGGGCGAGAGGCGTGGTACACCCTGCACATGTCGCCAGCAAATGGCAGGGCTGACATATGGTGATTAATAACATTCACATTCACACACAGTCAGTCTGCATGACTTTGGGAGGAAGCCAGAGTTTACTCTGAGAAAACCTTCACAGACACAGGGAGAACATGCAAACTCCACACAGAGCCACTGACTGAAACAGGATTCGAACCAATGACCTTCTTGCTGTGCTGACCTCTATCAATACAAAAAATTGATTGAGGCACATTATTTTTAAAAAGCCCGAAATGGTCCATTACTGGCTTGTGGCTTTTGTTTCTTTTAACCGAATTAGAAGACATTTTGTCCAGTGCTGGAGCTCCTACCAGCCCTGCTTATCACATTATATTCAAGGGAGAGACCATTTTCTGTCTGCTGACTTTCAGTGTTTCACTTTAGCTCACATTTGCACTGACTGACTTTGGAGTGATTCAGTTTATGGTTCTTAATTGTTCTTTTGTGTGTGAGAGGTGCAGAGATGCAGCTGGCAGAGTGGCTTTGTTATAAAAGACAAATGTGCAACATACAGTGTATAAATGTGATATGGAAAGCAGTGGAAGTCATCTGCAGTGTGCGGCCTCCCATTATGATATGAAATTAATTCAGCACTCCCTCTTGGCTCAACTATGTGAGAAGCATTCAGACAGAGGCCCTTTTCATAACTGTAAAATGGGGAGGAAATTAGAACTGCAGAAAATTAAAATGGGATTTGACTTATCATAAAAAATGTATGCTAAAGTTCTTTGTTTCAGGTCTCTGGCATTTGTTAATCCTAGGTTTTCATAATTTCACAATTTTATGTCTCTTTTTGCTTCACCTCAGTTTCTGCAATGTATTATTCAGTCTTGAAAATTGTAGATAAAGCGACTAACTGTATAGTTTTGTGTTTATGCAGGTATACATAGCTACATTTGTTGTGTCAGGCTATGCATCCAGCTACTACAGAACTGGTGGAAAGCCTTTCAACCCCGTCCTGGGAGAGACATACGAATGTGACCGGCCGGATAAAGGCTTTCGATTTGTTGCGGAGCAGGTATGCATGATTTTTCAATTTCTGTGCTGTCAACGTTTGAACAATCACAGCGCTCTAATAATAATTCAACAAATCAATGTTCTAACGTTGTTTCCCTTTTTTCATCGTCAGGTCAGCCATCACCCTCCGATCTCAGCCTGTCACGCAGAGTCTAAAAATTTCATGTTCTGGCAAGGTAGAGGAATATGTAAATGAGCAGGATCTATTATTAGTTTCTGTTCATGTAACGGAGCAGCTGGTTGTTCTGGATAAATGTTGATGTGCTCTTCTCCGACTGATTCTGTAGACGTGAGGTGTAAGAACAAGTTCTGGGGGAAGTCGATGGAGATTGTTCCTGTGGGTACAACTCATGTAACTCTGCCAGAGTGAGTCTCTCCTGCCTCGTTTACTCCCGGACAGGACACACAAAGACACACACACACACTTGAGGCTTACTCTAAACTTATCGTTACTTCTTGCCCAAACATAACCTAACCTAAACTTAGCCTAACTTTAAAACGTCTTAAAGTCTTAAAATTTCTATACTTTAAAATGTAATGATTTACATCATGGTGACTTAATTTTTGTTCCCATTATGCGAGTGTATAAACAGATTCAGGTCCCTACAACATGAGTATTACCTAGACAACACACACAGATTACACACATCAACGACCTTGACAAATGTAAATGAATAGTTTTAAATTCTTTTTTTTTAGATTTGGGGACCACTATGAGTGGAACAAGGTGACGTCCTGCATCCACAACATTCTCAGTGGACAGCGCTGGATTGAACACTACGGGGAGATCTCCATCCAAAACACCAGCAGTGACATTTGCCAATGCAAGATCACGTTTGTTAAGGTGAGGTCAGTCTCGGAGCCCACATATCATCTGACGACAGACTAACCTCTGGCGGCAACAGTTTCCGGTGTAGACAGCAGATATTCGGGCCAAAACTCCATCTTTTATTTGCCGCACATTGTTTACAGTCTGGCTAGCTTCTTTTATCAAAAGTTAAATGTTTCTCCACAACAAAGATACTTTTTGTTTGTGTTATGTCAAGACAACATTTAGGGAAATCTGTATTAACACCTATCTGCATATGAAGGCAAATAATTCAAGAAGCCCATTGCAGATGCATTTCGGTCAGTGTGTTCTATTTTGCTGCTTGAACTGTGGACAACCAAAGACTGCTAAAACATGATTGGTCAAACTAGGCACGGAAACCAGAAGATGTCTGATCCCAAAATCTCATCCCTCTCTTTCAGTGTCTGCATATTGTTTATAGAGATTAAGGTGAGGTTAACACTGTAAAAACATTTTGAGTAGTACTTAATATCAGTATGCAGTGCTGCACCCAAAGACCCTCGCCACCTCTAACTTCTCTAACATCTTATTAACAGAGGCATTATTGTTCCAGACACGTGTTATCAATTCTGCCTGCAGTGTCTTGTGTTCATTCTAATCCCAGACTAATTATGATTCCTTTCACTGTGGGCTCGAGAGCAAGAGTTGAAAAAAGAGAGAAGCTTTGCACTTGAAATAACTTCACTAAATCAAATAGTTAGTATTAAGCAAGTGATCTGAAGAAAATCAATCAAATATTTTCCATGTCTACTTCACTGCCAACAACTGCTCTGGCTCTGTGGACGTGGCAGCCCGAGTCGACCAATGACATTTACACCTCTGTAGAGCTGCATGACTGTGAAACCCTCTGCACAGCTACAAAGCTGCTGTGTGGAGATACCAGAACACCGCACAGCAGAAGTATGAAGCCTTAAGGAGTGTTGTCCCACCTTTACGACATGAGTATATCCAATACTGTCAACCATAGTGATTTATAAGCCACCATATTTACGTATATAAATATATTTAAGTATATTATTGGTCCATAATACTGTATCTCACTCATTTGCCATATCTTAGTGTTGGTAGCATAGATTATTTTCAAAGATAGACAACATGACAACTCCCCAAAAGGGAAGTCAAAGCATGAGAGCCCCAGAAGGCTTCACCAAATAACCTCAAGGCATGAAAAGGCATTTTTCAGTTAAAGGTACAGTGTGTAGAATTTTGTGATATCTAGTGTTGAAATTGCATGTTGCAGCTGAACACCCCTCACCTCACCCTCTCCTTCCAAACATGAAAACGAAACAGTGGTAGACTTTAATTGTCATAAAAACTCAAAAGGTGTTTAATTTGACCAGTCTGGACTAATGTAAAAAACATGGTGGCCTCCGTAGAGAGGGTCCCCTCGGTGTAAATGTAAAATATTTAAATATAAAGGGCCTTTTCTGGGGTAAAGAAAACTACAATTCATACAATTTAGATGAAACGAACTAGTGAAAACATCATGAGGATTATTCTACATTAAATGTCTGCCAATAGATCCCTTTCACCTAAATCTACACACTGGACCTTTAATTGTGTTGACTACATGTCACCGACAGTCATAGTCAGATCTGTACGTCCTTCATTAGTCTATAAACAGTCTACACAGATGGTTGTCTTCACATGCAGGTCAGCATTCTCTTGGTATTTTCAGTGTCAGATGCATGGAAGGCTTTACCGTGAAGAGAAGGTTAATTGCTTTAGCTTGTGTCCCATTTTAAAGACCTGAAGCTGCGCAGCATCACTAGCCAAAACATGTCAGAACTCATTATGCATTCTCATTTCTCATTAAACACAGCAGCCCTGCAACACACTCTGGTGCTCAGGGTGGTTTACGCAACAGCAACATCTGCCGACTGCGAGTGGACTCCGTCACGATCTCTGCACTGTCCATTTACACTCAGCTGCAGTGGCACATTCCTCTCTGTGCAATGAGGATACTAACCCATTCTGTCAAATTGTTTTCACAGGCCAAATACTGGAATTCAAGTGTGAACGAGGTGGAGGGAACCGTCACGGATCAGAAAGGGAAGGTCGTCCACAGACTCTTTGGAAAGTGGCAAGAGGCAGTTTTCTGTGGAGACCCACCTTCAGCCACATGCATCTGGAGAGCAAGTATGGCAGGTTTCTCTAACAACTGTGCACCAAAGACTCCTGGAAAACACATGTCTCTCTATCATGATATCTAACGCCATGGTTATTTGTTTGCAATGCAGATGCAATGCCAGTGGACTATGAGCAGTACTATGGTTTTACAAAGTTTGCTGTTGAACTGAATGAGTTGGACCCCTCTCTGAAACTGCTGCTACCACCCACAGACACCAGACTACGAGTTGACCAAAGGTTAGAGCAAAAACTCGGAAAATAAAAACATGCACGTTGGGACTTTTTGCAATATCCTGAAAGATAAGACTAAAGGAAACACTAGACTTCTGCCTCAGTATTATGATATGATGATATCAGAAACAGTTCATTGCCAGTGAATATCTGTGCAACACATCTTTTATCACATCACGAATCTCGTCTTGAAAAGTGCACACCCTACACTTTGATCAAAATAGCATAAAAACAGGCACATCAATACTCATGTTAAGAATAGTAACTAACCTCAGAAACTTTCAGATCCAACAACATTATTTTAGATGACATTAGTACAGTTTAAAAGTCTGTTAAGTAAAGGCTGCTGCCATGAGGCGCCACAGGCATAAGAAGCATTAGGCAGCAAAGTAAAAATAATGTAATTTCAATATCCTGATTTATGTGTTTTCCTATTTGTCCATATAATGGATGTGTCTGTGTCGGGCTGGCAGACTGCTGGAGGAGGGGAAGTTGGAGGAGGCAGAGGAACAGAAGCAGAGGATTGAACAGCTGCAGAGAGAAAGACGGAGAGTCCTGGAGCAGAGCAATGCCACGCATCAGCCTCATTTCTTCAGGTAACGACAAGACTGATCTACTTACATTATGTATCCAAAAACTTTTCATTTTGGTCACCTTTTAAATGCGTCATATCCATTTTACCCGTGGTAAAATACACTACAAGAGAGCAAGGAAAATTACAAATGTAATAAAATTAATCAATGAAAAATTAATGAAAATATTAGGGACTTCATTAGAAATATTAGTATACAATTCTGAAAACTGGATGCTTTATTTATTGTTTGTATGAGAGAATGAGTTATGCATTGAGTTAAATTTGTCCGTCTCTGCTATAACTTTATGAGAAAACGACTTATGACGAGGGATAAACACACTGTTATCCAGTCAGCAGCTTTTTCCTTCTGCTGTTTGTATTGGACACCAGTAATTCATCACGATTATTTATTGCCACATAACGTGAATAAAACTTTAATTAATTTCCTCAGCTGTGAACATGATTTGCACCTATGTGTCATCAGGTAGATTTTCATTAGCAATGGCCCTGAAGACAACAAGGCTTCATGATGTCATCAAATTAGGTCTTCTCTTATTGTTATGATTGAGAGACCATTACACTTATGTTCCCCTGCCTCTTCATCTCTCAGCTATAATTTGCTTTATTTCATTTTATTATTACAGTTTCCATTTTTTCTTCTATGCATTACTTTATATAGATGTATGTACATTATATTTACACTTACTATGCTTTACATGTGCTGTCAACATACCTGATTTCTCTGTATAATTATTTTTTAGGGGTCTTTATTTGACTGAAAGACCCTGAGTGGCCAAAAATAGATGTTGTATGTTTAATAAAATGCAGCTTGTCATGGTAACACAATAATTTCATCATTACAAGCTGGAATGTATTTTTTTTCCTCAGGAGGTCCAAGGACGATACGTGGGTGAGCAACAACACATACTGGGAGTTGAGGAAGGACCTCGGCTTCGCCCACATAGATTTTCCGATGCTGTGGTGACCCCTGAAATGTACCTCGCACACTTTTTCCACCTGCGCAGCCTCTACTGTGACCCAGGCTGGTTCTGGTGACGTCTGTATCCCAGTCTTGCCATCCACATTCAATCCTGTCTTAGTTATTGCAGTTCATCAAAGTTGTTGCCTTAAAAGCAAGTGCTTATCTAAGTTTTGTAAACATGTTTATGCAATTAAATTATAAAAAAAAGTTGATCGATTGATCAAACAGTTTTTGCCCATATTTCCATGTCTAATGTTACACTGTGCAACTGAAACTGAGAAAATAATTTGGTATTTATGATGATAAATATTTTAAAGGAGACACATTATGCTTTTTGTCTTTCCTCAAGTAGATGGTAGGTTTTTTCTGTGTGTATGACATCTGCAAAGTTAAAAAAGCCCAAAGTCCATCCTAAAGGGAGCTCCTCCCCCGCACAGAACATGCTGCTCCTGAAACTCTTGAAACACCTCTTGAGTAATCTGGGTATCACGGTGTCATGTGACATCACAATGTGACATCACATTTGCATAAAATAATAATATTGATGAATCCAGGTAAAGCAAGAGCAGAGGCCGACATTTCATATGAGTGCTGGAAGTGGTTGACCAATCACAACAGAGTGGGCCAGCTAGCCAATGAGAGCAGACTGGGCTTTATCAGGAGGGGGGACCTTTAACGAGACAGGAGCTAAAACCAAGTGTTTTAGACAGAGGCTGAAAATAGGAACTGCAGCAAGAGACAGAATGAGGAAGTGTTTTTTTTGTCTACACCAGTTTAACATGTACCGAACAACTGGTCTCTTTAGCTGCCGTCTCATCATGGACATTCTCTACCTCTGAGATAAAACTAGCCTTGAAATGCCAGTCATGAAGTAAACACATGTTATATTTATTCTACACCTGCCTGATGCCTTACTGCTTGTTCTCATATTGTTTAATTTATTTTTGTTGCATCTCTTAAGTGTTTTTTAAAATGTATGTTTTGTAAGGAATTCTTAAAAACACATGACCTGTAATCCTTATTGACCTTTTCTTTCTGTCTCCATCACAGTGATTACAGCTTTTTGCTATGACTGTGTCAATGATTGTGCACCAATGAGCTGCTGTAGCAAACATCAAATCCAGCTGTTTTTCACTTCATACACTCATACGTCGTCTCTGTGGACTCGGGGAGGATTTGTGACCAAAAGTGTCAGAAGCTATGCTCCATGAGCTCAAATAAAATCTGTGAGGCTTTCTTTCTGTTGAGTCTTTGCTTTTTTGGGGGCTGTTTGTTCAAAACACTGACAGCAACTTGGCTATTGCACTAATTTCCACTTACTTCAGATGAACCGACAGCAAAAGAGAAAACATCTGAATCAGGTTTAAATGTCACATTTAGACAGAAGAGGAAGAAGAAGAAGACAATTTTGGGCCTTCAGCAGCTCAAGTCATCTCATAGATTTCTTGGGAATACCCCATGAACATTTATCTTTAAAAAATGGGGATAAATTGTGTTCTGAATAAAGCACTTCTGGTTGTTTTTTTTCCACATCAAAGATGATAAATTACAACACAATTGGAGTGAAGACAATGGAGTTTGTCGTCACTAGGAACCGGCCTCTAGGTGGCAGCAACTAGCCATATAGTTACTCACACAGTAAAAGGGACCTCAGTGAACTTTGCAGTGTTGTCAAGTTTCCAACCAGAAAGATAAATATTAAAGTTTCTTTCATGTTATATTTAAACCATGTGATTTGTGTCATTTAGACTGTAAAGCGATTTGAGTGGTCATCAAGAATAGAAAAGCTCTTTTTAAAGAGAAACCATTTACCATTTCATTTCAGCTTGAACAGTCAAAGGGACAGTTCATACTTTAACTGGAATATGACAAATTCTTTAATTCATAAATGACTAAAGTGGCTTTATTCCCCCCTCTGTATTCATTTATGTAACTTATTATATTCTTACTCTTATGTGTGAGGTTAAGAGGGGGAGTTATTGTTATCATTGTTACTAATAATCATTTTTTATTAGTTTCATTTTTACATAGGTCTGCTTGTTGTTGACAGGGTTCAGTGACCCACAGCTTCCTATAGAGGGGGCGGAGCTTCTTTTGTGCAGGACAGACGCAGCCTGATCGCAGACTGACATGAAGAAGAAGCGTCTGTTCTTAAAGTCTGAGCCCAGAGGAAACTTTTAATCTGCCTCCTCAGAAAACAAATCACACGGGGACACGGTAACATGTTCTCTCCTTGATTCACGAGGTTATTTTTGCTTCACGAGCAGCTGAAGTCTCGATCCGAAGAAAATCTGTGATTGTTGATGCTATTAGCGTGTTAGCTTCAAGTAGAAATACATGCAACATACTGCGATGTACTAGATATGCTGTAAAGGTACATGCATTCATTGATTTTGAGTTATTATGGGGGCTTTCTCAAAGAAAGACCGGAAATGAAGGGGTGGTGGAAGGATTGTTAACTGTAGTTTGAGCCAGTTGAGCCTACATGAGTGCTAAAGTCTTCTCTGACGTGTAAGTCTTTGTCTTCACCTTCAGGTTTCATCCAGGTGGGAGATGTTTGCCACAGCCACCAGGAACTTTGTGGAGGAGGTGGATCATGGGGGTTTACTGATCCCTGTGTCCAGCCTCAATGACACCATTGAGCTGCTGACTGTGGTGGTGAAGCGTAAACGTTTCTGGTTCTGGCAGAAGCCCAAGTATCTCCCCACTGATTTTAACCTGAATGACATACTGACAGGAGACATCTTCTTACAGCCAGGTAAACAACAAACACTCTGGATAAGTACATGCATTTGTTTTCACGCTAGTTGTTAAATATCTGCAGCATTAGATCACAGAAAACCCTTTTTCTGCGGTGGCTAAGAAATCTCAGAGCACTGCAAATTAAGAAAACAAATGCAAATAGAAAAAACACATGCAAATAGAAAAAACACATGCAAATAGAAAAAACTAATTAAGAAAACAACTTCGGAAATTTGGTGACACATGTACTGCAAAATGTCACAACACATGCAAATACAGAAACGTGCTGCAAATTGTGAAAACAACAACGGAAATGTTTCCAGCGGAACCAAACAAGTGATGAACCTTGTTGTAGTTCAATGCTTTGTGATGTTCCATCACCACTGATGAGTAGCAGACTTCAATAACTTCACAAACTGATGAAGTCGTTTTCTTAATTTGCACGTTTCTGTTTTATTTGCATGTGTTTTCTTAATTTGTTATGCTCTCTCAGCCACCATATTTTCCCACAGTTTCCATAGAGATAGACTTCATCACGTTTAACGGGACGTATGGGGACAACGTTAAGGGAGCTATGGACGCAAAATTTGTCCACTCCAACGTGAGCCTGCACGGCAAAGACTCGTCCAAACTCCAGTCGTCCTTCGGCAGTTTGAAAAAAGAGGAAGTGAATGTGCAGAAGCTTCTGCAAGAATCCAAAAACAGGTCTGTTCTTCTGCTTGTCTCCACCTTCTGACAGAAAAACACTGGAAACCTGACACTCAGTCTGTTAGAGATTTGCACACAGCAGCAGTGATCTTTGTCCACTCACAAAGCTGCACACAAAACACACGTCAGTTGAATATTAACACTCACAAGAGACAATGCTTGTTTTTGAAGAAGCTTAAGACAGAACGTCACAGAATTTCAAGTCTGTATATTTTTCACATCTGCACAATATAGTTTTTTTCCCGTGAAAAATGTAACACTGGTGTTGTACATTCAATGTCTCAGGGTCCTGGACATGTCCCACTGTCTGATCCTGCAGACCAAGGAGAAGCACAGACGTGTGTTGGGGATTGTGAAGGAGCGTATTGTGACCACGAAGCCCTGTTCGGTCATAGAGGAGGTGCAGCAGGTCGGAGAGTGCGGAGGGAGCCTCAGCTCCTGTGGGCCCAAGTGCTCGAAGGTAGAGAAGTAAAACTGAAACAATCTCATGATGGGTTTTCTTTTAGTTAATGTGTTTTAAGAGTTGATTTCACTTTTCCTTTATCAGAGAGAACTTTGTCATCTCCAAATTCACTCTCTTGTTATCCATCCATTATCTATGTACTGCTTATTAAAGGTCTCTTTTCCCTGAATGAGTTTTCAGCCATGCATTTAACTCTAGGTCTTTTCTTTTCAAGTTGTAGAAGTGAAAGTGAATTTTTGTGCCGTGTAATGTTGAAAAGTGAATTAAATTTTAAAACAATTCAACACACATAAGATATAAAATTATTTTTTTTACTGACTCCCACATCCTTTGCATAGAAGGGAACACATCCAGACAGATCCATAGGTGAAGGATGCATCACCAGCTGCTGTTGTTTTTCAGCAGTAATTGTTGTTTTAGAGTCTTATGTCAAACGTCTGCTGTATCATTGTTTCTGCAGGTTTCATTGAAAGAGAACGGGAGCCTGAGTAAAGACAGTAATGTTACCATGGAGATACCCACTCATACTACCATTGCCTATGCCCTCCTAGAACTAGAGATCAAACATGATGGATGCTATGGTGAGGAATCATCGAGTAAATCTACACATTTGCATATTTGACCAGAACAACTGATAAATCTCTTATTAAATATCTGAAATGTAACATGCTGTATTTTCCTCAGAGCTGTGTCTGATGTCAGACACCACCGGAGGTTTTGAAGTAGACGGCCAGGCTAAGAAACAACTGTGGGGTGTGTCCGGAGCTGCTCCGCACGCTTCTGAAAACAGCCACCTTCAACAAGGTAAATGACTCTTTTCTCTCTGCAGCCATAGAACATGTGACTGTAGATGATGACGTCTTCAGACATATGTGCTGGCTCATAAATGGCCTTGAGAGATTGGAGTCTTATCAGAATGGCGTGATAACCAATTGTAAACATCTGCCTTGACCTGAGTCTTTTATCTAAAGCCCGTACTTGGTTTTGTGCAGTTAACTCAGGTTTTAGTGACCTGCTACATAATGCAAACATTCTGTCTTTAGAGTGAATTTAGATTTTTCTTTCTATCAACAGAACTGGAGCAACTTCATGATCACTTCGAGGTGCTGTTGACTCTTCCTGCCACCACACGGTCCTCTCTGCTCCAGCAGCTCACTCAAGTTATGCAGGACCAAGCTGCCATCAGTGCACTTCAGGATGTGGTAGGTGGGACAGAGAGGCCCTGACAGGACAGAGGCAAAATGATTATGTTGAGTGTGTTAAACGTGCCTGTTTAACGTTGGTGTCTTCCTTTGTCTCAGCTGGACCAGATGTGCCAGGATAAGAGCTCTGTCCTGGGTGATGTCACGATGACAGAGTGTCAAAAACGGAACATCCAGGCAATTCTGGACCTCGTGGAGCAGTGTGGTGAAGCGGAGTCAGCTCAGACAGGCCAGGCCACATCAGTCCTCACAGCACTCCACCTCATTAGCAGCGCCTTGGACGGTGAGGGAAATCACACGCTGTGCAGCCTTTATTACTTTACCCATTAGTTAAGTTAAATGTTGCTTGAAGTCCTGGATTTTTGGGCCGATGCTGATATTTTGGTTGATATATAATGAAAAATGCCAATAATTCCTTCAGATGTTGTTATCAAAGCCTAAAGACAAGTTCAACCATAAACTTTATTATTAACGAAAATAAAATGCAACCAAATATATAGAACTTTATTTGAGAAAATAGGGGGGGCAACGACATCATTCATCCTATGTCTCTGAAAGGCTCGTTTTGTCGGATTCTCGGTCAGTCTCCAGTAGTCATCATTTCATTGTCCTGAGGAGAAGCGTGTAGAATGTCCTAAAAACCTAATTTCCTGAAGTTCTGTTTTCATCCCACATCTTTGTGTCTGCCTTTCAGAGATGACCAATGATTGTCGTGCCATCTTGGGACTGTGCTGCAGCCACTCAGTGTTACAGACAATGGAGCTGCTGGTGAGTAAAGTCATTTTTTTTACAAAATGAAAATCACACAACATGTTACATGAGTGATGCTGATCATGATGATCATAATCCCAGCTGCATGTTAACCTTTGTCTCACCCCTGCTCCAGGTACAGTGTGCGTCAGGAAACGGAGAGTTGCTGCTCGGCAGCGCAGACCTGTCCGTACTGACAGAGGAGGTGTATGAAAACGCTGCACATCTGTTCGCCTCCTCTAACGTGTGCCTGAAGAGAGACGGGGACACTGTGAGGACAGAAATAAGCCAGGAGTCGGGGAACCTTCCTCTGGTCCTGTGTATCGCTGTCAGAGGTTTGGCCTCATTAACCCTCTGAGTTTAAATTGAAGATGCCTTCAAATCCACCAGGAACTTTTACTAACCACACCTGCATGAGGTACCCAGGATCCCATCTAGATGTATTATTTATCAAGTGTTTTATAAATTCTATTTGGTGCTGTAGAATGTTATTACTAAGATTTAAGATAAAAGGTTGATCTAAACCTTCAAGCCAATCAGATCCAAGAATTCTCAGTGGGCATGGAACAAAGTAAAAGAAACACTAATGATTTCATGTGGGATCTGACCTGCCTTCTCAGCACTTATGCTGTCGGGACATATTGCACTTACACATTCTTTGTGGCTTCAGATTGTTTATCTGTACTAATATTTTAACATTGGTGTCTTTTGTGTTTTCCTCTGTTAAGTACCTTAAGATTGAATATTCATGAATTCAGTAAATATACATGTAACCATGTCATTGTTCTCTATAGAAAAGAATATTTGAAGCTCTTTTTAATGTACTAACCACAGACCTCATTTTCAACCTCATTGCTCACTAGAGCAAATTTTTAAAAAAGTTTTTTTAATATTTTCACTTTTGATGCCGATTAAATGCACATTTCTTTGAGTTTTAATTCAGGTTTGATATTGTATATATTTTTCTCTATGGTGGAAAAATAAAATGTGCCAATACCAGCTGTAGTTGTAACTTTGTCCTTCTCCAACACATTCAATACATTTGTCAAGTAATTCTGCCAAAATCAAATACAAAGCAGATCATTATAAAACACATCATTTATTTCACATCTGAAAATACATATTTTTCTGAAATCTTGTAAAATATAACCTTTATAAGTAAATATGAGCTTTCATTTAAAACTGTTAAGTTTTTTAGTAATATCACATCAAAAGGGATGGTTCATTGAAATGCAGTACCCTGCTCAGAGTCCTGTGGAAAGTTTCTTTCTTCCAGATAAACACAGCTGCATATTCACTGGTCAGTCACGCACATGATCCAGATGTATGACCATCAACATAATTGATTTCTGTTGTGCTTGAGTGAAAGAGAAAAGTGGGTAAACACTGCAGGAAAACCTTTTCTTCCTGTACAACATCAAACACAGACTGCCATGACATTTATTAATGAGACAGAATAAATGTAGCCTTCACAAAGAAACAGGTCTCAGAAACATATGACTCTATTCTACATGAATGATGAAATGAGATGATGACTGGAGGCATACACACTGTAAACTGTAACACTGAGGTATCGTCCTTTTCAATGAGCAAATCCTCTTGACTTTAAAAATAAATACACTTTACCTATCTTACATACTGATGTAAATTGAAAACAACAGGGTATGGCAAACACTGCTTTTGTTTTAAAAAATAACACCCTGACACATTGGCCAGTATTTACTTCCAATCCGTTTGAAGAGAAAGAATTCTTTAAAATATATTTTGCCAATAAGTACACTTCCTGTGTGTGGTCAGTTGCATAGTGTGCTATTAAGGAATCTGGCTTTTCAGATCAGGTGATTCTGATGAACCTTTGTGCAAGACCCAAATTAACACAGGACTGATGTCCAACACTTAGTCTGTGTGTGTGCAGAACAGGGTTGTGTCCCTGTTTATCCCAGGTCTAGCAGCTCCCACAGCCTTGTCCGTCCAGCAGGGGGGGGTAGTACATCAGTAGACCCAGCTGACTGGAACCCACTGTGGCTCTATGAATAATCGCTCTACAGCTTCCTGCAGCTTGTCGAAGGCCTTGTCCAGATTGTCATTAACAATAGTCAAGTCGAAGTAGTGACTATAAGCCCGGCGTATCCTGGCACTCTCATCCACAGTCTTCTTCAAATCGTTCTCCTGGTACCAAACGAGGCAACAACAATTAACCAGACGTCTGTTATAATTTATAACTATTGAGAGAAGCTGAAATCCACTCAAAACTTACCGTGAGTAGTTTGGTTGTAAGACCAGCATCTACCACAGCCTTGTGCATAGCTCTTAGTGTGTCCAGCTCAGGAGCAGCAATAAACACCACGAATGGCATAAACTCAGCAGTCTTCAACATTTTCAGGGCCTAAACAAAAATAAATAAAAATACAATGTCCAAACCAAATCTTTAGGTGACAATCTATAATAATTGAGTGTGTGTGTGTGAGTGTGTGTGTGTCTTAAATTAACCTGAGGGTTGACGTCTAGGATGCAGGTACGACCCATATCCACCACTTCATGGATCGAGTCAATTTTGGTACCATAAAGGTTGGCATCATACTCGCCGTGCTCCAGATAGCGGCTCTCCTTGATGTCCTTCTCCATCTCTTCCCGTGTGACAAAGCAGTAGTTCTGACCGTCTTTCTCCTCTTCTCTGGGATGTCGCGACGTGACTGGAGGTAAAAGGTGAGGAAATGTGTGACCCAGACAGAAAACCTTTAAATATAAAATGAAGTTGCCTTAGCCATTTCTCTTGCACACTCACATGGTACAGTGGTGCCATATCTCAGAGGATTCACGACAATGAGCCTGTTCTTCAGGCTCCGCCTGCCGACTCCCTGAGCTCCAATCAGAATAAGCGTCTTTCTCTGGAATGGTGGCATCTTGGCGACCTCCTCATAGATCTGCAGCTCATAACGGTCAAACTCTATTCAAGGTAATACACAGGCTGAATTAGCAGTGTATTGTTTTCCATGAAATTGCATGTAGATACATTTGAACCAGTAGTGATACACACCAGCATTCTTAGAAGTCAGATACATCATTTTCTTCTTCTTTTTCTTTGCAGTTCGAGTTCCGCAGAGCATCCCTGAGTCACAAAGAGAAAGAGTTAGGTCACCACTGGTGGCGCTAAAGCCAAGAGATCTTTGACTGCCATGATAAATCAATGGTAACAGCTGGTATCATGATGAGAAGGAGAGAACATGACTTCGACCGACCAGAATCCGAAGTGTCCCAGTCTCGTCTCACGAAAGCTTTCCTCTTCTCCTCCAAGAATTGACTGGGGATGAGACCAGTGGCTCCACCAAACACTTTGCGTGCCTGTGTGGAAATCAGAGAGGTTCAGAGACCTTGGTTTCAATAATTGACTTACAGAAATAAGGTATCGGTCACTAACACCTTCCTCCTCATCCTTAACTACCTCTTGCAATGTTGAAAAGGCAAATAGTTGGCACACAATCCCTAATCAGCCCAGTAGCTGTAGTCAGTATCACAGTGGTTCACCATTACCCAGCAGCAGCTTCCTCACCTGCCACCAGTTAGGGTCCTCCTTGTTAACTACGTGAAGAATGTCTCCCTTGGAGAAGGCCAGACCCGCTTCTTTACAGGGGATCAAGTTGTCTGTGGTCGGGTTATAGTTGAAATATGGCTTTAGATAAACCTACGACAAGATGCGAGACAGTTAAATCACAAGCAGTACATTACCGTAACTGTGTCATATTTCCTAAAAGAAGGTTGCTCGTGTTCTTTTTCACTCTTCCTTTCCACTCATTTTATCTGTTAATCTAAAACAACAAATGCATAAGCAAATAGGAGAATGAGATAATTTGATCCTCCCCAGCACAAAGGTCAGTGTCTGACATAACCCTACATGATGCTCCTCTGCGTCAGCTGCTGTGTGTGCCGGTTACAGTAAGAGGGGGGGGGGGTTCCAGTGGAAGGAGTGGTGTATACCCAGATAGTGTGTGGAGTGTTATTAATAGACCCTACGAGGGCTCAATTTTCAGGAGCCTGTTATTCTGGGATCAGCCGGGTCAGGAAGCTCTCACCCAATCACTGACAGGTACTGTACAACTACTGGACAGCCTCAATACACCAACACATACCCAGCAACACTACTGTACACATAGAGCACTAAGTTCAAGAAAGATTGGATGAGCACAAACAGAAGAAATGAGAATGTAACTGACTTGTTCTGTATACATTCTCCTGTAATAAAGGATCATTAAGTTCATCTTCCCTCTTTCTTACCTGCGGTGGTGCGGGTGTATCTCTGTAGCTGGGCAGGACCTTGAGCGTGATGCTCCCGCTGCAGTCCTTTAGCAGCTCCTGGAGTTCATGGGGGTTGCTGCCGACCTCACGACCGTTCACCTCGCGGATTATGTCCCCAGTGTGCAGCATACCCTGCCTGTCAATTGAGCTGCCGTGCAGGATCCGAGCGATCACCATCTCTCCCCGCTCCGCACGGAACGTCACCCCCTGAAAGAGAGTAGCAGCCATTCAGTTTCGTACGTCCGCACTTCATAAATCTTAGGCGAGGTTTATTTCTTAGTGAGGTTTTATCTGTGTGGGTACTCTAGAAAAACTCACTTATGTTGAGGTACCAAGTAAAACTGATTGACTCTGTTCTCACAAGTGGTCGATAAAAGAGGACACAATGATGTGAAAAGCAATTTACAGCCTAACAGGCGCACTGCATGATCCCTCTGCAGAGCTGTGGATGATTTAAGTGCCCGGCCAACTTACCAAAGGTTCCCCAGCTTTCTTCTGGATGCCAATCATCCTGACAGCATCAGCTGGCATGAGTGAACTGGTCAACAAGACATGGCTGTTCACCGTAACGTGTGGCATTTCATAGGACTTTGCAGCCACTTTGTCATGAGCCTCGATCAAAGACTGAAGCAGAAAGATTGGAGAAGGAGAGAGGGAAATCAGACTGGATCACATTGTCTGTAATCTAAGACATTTAGAGTAGATTTCCTGCAGCTTTTTCTGAGACAGCTACCACAAGGTTAATTTACCAATATACTAAAAATAACAGTGACCGACACATTTGAAAAAGTAATGAGTGTTAAGAAATAAATCATTGCTCTACACATTCCTTTGAAACAAACACTTCAGAAAAGATGTTTTTATGATTGCACTGACAGCAGATCAATTGTTAAAAAGAGAGGATAAACCAGGTGTGTTCTTACCCTAGCAGCCACAAGAGTTAGCATAGAGTTAGCATTGGTCAGGCACTACAAACTGCATGGGCAAATGTGAAGATTTACTGAAACAGTCGGTGACACGGTCTTCTCCCCCTCACTTTACCCACATAACTCAGCCTGCTATTGGCCCGAGGAAATACACCCCCACCCTCCCATGCTGCAGCTTGTGGTGGAGAATATAAAGGCTGACAAAGGAGCAGGGCTGCCTAACAGGCTCTTCAGGGTAAATTAGTCAATAGCTGAAGTAAAAAGCTCTGACATCCATTCCCACAATTCATTCCACAAAGCTCTGGTCTATTCAAGCCCTTTAAAAACCCACTAACAGTTGTGTATCAGAGGAATGAGGCCAAACAGTACCTGAAAGTGAGGCTCCTGCAGGATTTTGACGAGCTCTGTAGCGGCAGCATCTTTTTCCGGCAGGTTGTTGAGAGAATCCAGGATCTCTGTGACCAGCTGAACGTTGTCGTCCCGCACGGCTTGTAATTCAACTTCTTCAAGACGCTCATGGGCCTACAAACAGAGGAAATTTGTCAAATTAGGGATGAAGACAAATTTAGTAATCTATCTAATCATTTACAGTTATCAATGTTACTAATGTACTACTTTACTGCAAAAACATGCATGTATGGAAAAACAGACAAAAAAGTTAACAGCACATAAACTATGATTTAAGGAGGAAAATAAATGACATTAACTGTAAGTCTGGCACAGCTCAAATCCAGGATTATTACCCTTCACACTACAGTACAATTGATTCAGTCAAATTAGATCTTAAA